TCCATTTTTCCTACATACCAAACATGTTCCTGTCCCAAGTTGATGTTTCCATGGAAATTAGGTTTCAAACGAACAACCCTTCAGTGGTATTGTAAGAAAAGAAAAGGTTAGGTCTTCACACCACCATAGTATCCATTTTTCAGAACATATGTTTATGCCCTGAAGATGAACCGAGACGAGTGCGTTTCGTCGGTTTTGCAGTGTTACAAATACAAAAAGTTAAGAAGACAAGCAAACAAGTGTACTCCTTGCCCCTTGTCCTCAAAAGTTGGTATCTCACATGGAAAGGCATGAAAAAGGAGATGTGGATCTTTGCTCAAAAGCTGCCACTAGGCCCACTACCCATTGGATGCAAAACCAACTGCTTGCCGTCCCCAACTAAAAACATATAGAATATTGCGTTTAAACAGAGAGAATAATATATTGTACCCAAAAAAAAAAAAAAAAAACAGAGAATATATGGGTTTCTTGGATTAAAGATAATGGGATCAAGAGGAACAGGACATGTACACAACCCTCTTTTGGCTTTTCTCTTTTTGACTCTTATGCTCTACCGAACATTCTCATCCTTTTCTTCAGTCACATTGATCTCTGTTGGTATCTGTCCTCGCCCCATGAAAAGTGATTATAGTTTTAATTTAGAGTCTAATCTGGTTTGTTCAGGGATAATGTCAAGCAGAAAACTTAAAACCATTACTTTTTATCATAACACCATATGAAATTTTTAATCTTTTTTTTTTCCTGGGTAAAGTTTTTTTGAGATCCATGAGCATGACTTTTGTACTTTAGATTTTTGTATGTTAGTTGATAATCTTGGATATAATGGAAGTAAATGTCCTCTTCTGTGAATGTAATTAGTTGTTTAACTTTCACTGTAGTTTCTCTCTAAAAGTACAATATGTTCTTTATTATGAAGATTTTTGGCAAAACTTAAAAAACATTTGTTTTTAAAATTTTTTTTTTTCACAAATTTAAAATTTTATTAGAGAAAATGTCAAAAATTGACTTTTAAAGATGCATTTAAATAAATTTGAAAGAATATTGGAGATGCAACTTTTTTAAATTTTACTTAAAAATCAATTTAAAAAGTTAATTTTTGAATTTCTCTCTAACAAAATTTTAAATTTGTGATAAAAGAATTTATTTTAAATAAGTGTTTTTCAAACTTTGCAAACACCCTATATAATTGATGTTTAATTGATGTTTCTGTTTTTTGGCTTCATTCCAAAATGTCGTTTCTGTTTTCCTAATTCCATGAATTTGTTTTGGACCTTTGCACACGCAGTTTCTATGTTGAAAACAGTTTCTATGTTGAAAATGAGAACTCAACAGAAATTTCACAGGCCAAATGCAAATAATCAAAATCAAAATCCCAAAAAGAAATGAAATTCTAAACTATCACTAGAAAATGTAAAAGTCTAGTCTACCCAGTATCATACCATACCACCATAACGAAAGAAAGGCAAAATCAATTTCCTTATCTAGAGAGCTCTATTTTGAAAAACTCAAATTCTCTCAAGAATAGATTATCAGTGACCCTTTTAGAGACAGACAAGGTGGGTAGATTTGAATCCCATTTGGATTCAAGTTCAGGAACCAAAAAAAAAAAAAATGTTGTTAGCTTACCATTACGGAATCTCAACAACATATATTGTTGTGCTTTTGGATTCTTTTCTTGTTAATATTTTGAATCAGTCAAACAGGGTTTTTGGTAACTGGGAGAAATGTACTACTTTGTTCTTGTTTTAGTTTTATTTATTTAATTTTGTTCAAGTGGAAGCTGGTAGATGAATCCAGTGCTTATTTCCCAGAAAAAAAAGAGATTTATATAACCTTAAACAGAATGTAGATGTTTCAAATGCTAATAGCTTTGAAGTTCTGAACATTTAAAAGATCAAAGTAGCAGTCGATAATTTTCAGATGTTTTGGGCAGATACCAATGCCACCTTCAAGCTAGGAAACCATCTTTTCAAAAAAAAGAAAAAAAAAA